CACATTTGTATAAATTTTGAACTGAAACGTAACAAAAATTAATAAATGCTCAAAGGAAAGCAATTTCAACGAATCTAGTTTAAACCAAAAGAAACGCACATTGATAAAAAACACATTAATATAAATACTTATAAAAATAAGAATATGTGGTATGAATTCCAAGGAGACATCTATCCACCAAAGTTCAAATGAAGTGGATGTAAGCAATTACAATTAACCCTACGGCTTTCAACAATGTCCCTTTATAGCTTATCCTCATTTGCAAATGGTAGCCGGCCATGATCCTGGTAGATTTCTATAATTTTTAGTACCTAACTTGGCATTTACACCCATTGATCTGGTTCGAAATATTTATAACATATTTACCAATGTACGTTGTTTAATCTACAACCTATCAACCAATTTCAAACAATACCTGATAGGGTATCCGCTTTTAAGTGGGACGCAGCAAGATTAAATCAAAATGGAATTGTTAAACCCGATGCATCGTGTATCAAAACAGACAGGGATGTTGCACATTAAAGAATACTCGAATCAAATATTACAATGCTTAATGTTTTCCTGTGTATCATACCAGGGGAAGTATTAATTACCCGCTTTTTCTTAAATCATATCATTTTGTTGAACATAACTCTGATGTTAAATCTATTCTGCTTGTCCTGATAATGTATTAAACATTTGTCAACGGTTGTTTAGCAAACTATAAACATTAGGTTTATTGACAAATGGACAGACAGACGCATATGACAAAATATATTCCCGTTCATATGAATAAGGGGTATACCACATTAGAAGAAATAATCATGAAATTCTCAACAACTATCAAAAATGAAATCTACTCTTGAAGAAAACGTTTTTCTTATGTTTTTTTTTTTTAATTCCTTTAACAAGAAATTAAGATATCAGTTGTTCATGTGACAAATGAAGTTAAAATAATGCCATGTTTTTTTAGACAACATGAGAGATGAAGATTTATTTCATTTGCTATTGTTACCTACCTAGTTACGCAATACACAAGATGACATACTGAGAGAAAAAAACGGTCATAGAGAATAGTTTTTTGATCGGTATGTACAATTATCTCAATTTACCTTCTAATTTTCTGCAATGTCTCTCATTTAACATTTCCGTTTCTTTTAAGTTTTCTAGTTTTTCTAAAAATTGCTGTTCAAGATCACTATTAAATGTTGACGTCAATAAAGTATCAATTATTTCTTCGCACTGTTCACCACCAAGTTCTACACAGCATCGGCGAATTGTTTCCCATTGGTTATTAAATTCTGCATACCCTAACGAACAATTCGAAGAGTGGGACACTATCATGTTTTTTGCCATACGAATTCTGTCGATATTTGCAGAAATACTATGATCATGTTCTTCTGGCTCTTTGCCCCAGCCATTCTGATGTGGACAAATTGTGCCAAGATTTCTTAATATAATATATAAGAGACTAACATCTATGTCAGTCAAATCACCAGCGTATTTCAAGCCACCAGGATACACCAATTGTTCTTGATTACTATTTAGAAATGGTAATAATCTTTTTTTCATTCCATTCAATATGTTTCCAAAGTTTGCACCAGGTAACCGTCCTTTGAGAACTCCAACAAGAACATTTTTTGCAACATCTTGGATCAAACATACACACTTTAGGTAGTTGTGTCTGTCTATGCTTTTCTGTTCTTCTAAAACTTATAACAAGTATATCGATAAGATGCATTGATTGCCAATCATTGTTTAAGCTGAAAAAAAGTTTCCTTCCAGAACCATAAAAATCGAGAAAAAGACTTCATAAAGTTAGATATAGTAGGAGTTCAAAATGTGTTATCATTATCGTTAGTCATTATGGTACGGACTTCATCTTAAATAAAAAGAATAAAATATCCATTCACCTTCCAGACCATACGCTGACTTTTTAGGAGTTCGTGTTCCTGTTCGTGTTTCTAAATAGTATATGGTACACCGTTTATTGTATTTTCAATTTATTCATTTCTTTTTGTTTTTGCTTACTGAGTGTTTAATCCTCTTAGGGGAAAAAAATCAACAAAATTGTCCCATTTCCTCTCTGTGGTATCTGATTATTTTCTTAAATACAATACGTATCTGTAGATTGGTAATAAATAACTTGAATGTCTGAAGTTGAAATGAACATAATTCATTTATTTGGTGTTCAAACTGACTCAATTTGAATTATTTGGTAAAAAAATAATATGAATAGCGTCATGTTAAATTAGTTTTATGTGTAAACTTTTTATTTCATTTAGACTTCCAACTGTTTTGATTCGAGCGCTACTAGTGCCTATCAGGTAGTCTAATAGAGAGTCTAGCCAAACAAAGTATTTAGAGTTTTTTTTTGTTAGCAGCAGTACCCAGTCGACACCTGTAACTACCTGATCTGGTTTCCTGTAGTATCGAGTTCATTTGACCCTGCTTTCCAAATAATTGCCTGTTTTTATTATCTTGTTTCAATTTGCGATTATTCTTTTGGTAATTGGACTCTGCATATTTTTTGTTTTCTTTTCGAAATAAAACAAAACGGCCACGATAGGCAAATAGAAAGGTAGTATAGATGTTTTTGCGATTTCCGTAAGCTTTTTTTATTATTTGAAGTAGCTTAACTAATTCTAAATTGATATTCATAAAGGCTAATATTAACTTAATTATTCGAATTTTAAATTAAACCTTTATTTTGATTGAGATCATCATTTTATCATTGCGATAACTTACCATCTATATTTCTTGAAGACGACAATGTTTTCTTATCTGTAGCCTGAAACATATGAATTCCATATCATGTAAAAACTAGAGGCTCCAAGGACCCTGTGTCGCTCACCTGATATTTTTATTTACAATTGATGCATAATATTGTAAAAAGTTACAAAAACTTACAAAATTGTTAAAAATTGTTAAAAATTAACTATAAAGGGCAATAACTCCTTAAAGGGTCACTTGCCCATTTTAGTCATGTTAACGTATTTGTAGATCTTACTTTGCTGAACATAATTGCTGTTTACAGTTTATCTCTATCTATAATAATATTCAACATAATAACAAAAAACAGCAAAATTTCCTTAAAATTACCAATTCAGGGGCAGCAATCCAACAACGGGTTGCCTAAATGGTCTCAAAATTTCAGGGAAGAAAGAAATTGACCTAATGAACAATTTTATCCTGTTATATTTGCTCTAAATGCTTTGGTTTCAGAGATATGAGCCAAAAACTGCATTCTACCTTATATACTATTTTTACCCATGTCGGCCATCCTTGTTCGCGGGCGGGGTCATCGGACACAATTTAAAAACTAAGTACCCAAATGATGATTGTGGACAAGTTTGGTTAAATTTGTTTTAGTAGTTTCAGAGTTTTGGTCATGTTGACTTATTTGTAGATCTTACTTTGCTGTACATTATTGTTGTTTACAGTTTATCTCTATCTATAATAATATTCAAGATAATAACCAAAAAACAACAAAATTTCCTTAAAACTACCAATTCAGGGGCAGCAACCAAACAACGGGTTATCCGATTCATCTGAAAATTTCAGGGCAGATAGATCTTGACCTGATTAACAATTTTACCCCTATGTCCGATTTGCTGTAAATGCTTTGGTTTTAGAGTTATAAGTTAAAATCTACATTTTTACCCTATGTTCTATTTTTAGCCATGGTGGCCATCTTGGTTGGTTGGCGGAATGGCCGGACACATTTTTTAAACTAGATACCCTAATAATGATTGTGGCCAAGTGTGGTCAAATTTGGTCAAATTTGGCCCAGTAGTTTCAGAGGAGAAGATTTTTGTAAAAGTTTACGGACGACGGACGCAGGACGCCGGACGACGGACGACAGACGCCAAGTGATGAGAAAAGCTCACTTGGCCCTTTGTGCCAGGTGAGCTAAAAAAACAAGCATTGTTCAATGAAAAGGGAAAAACAGACAAAAAAGTGCAAAAGAGGTTAAAAGGACTTAATTTGTTGGAAACCGACGATTTATTGTGGCATTCATACTAGATTAGCGGAAAAATCTTCTTGAATAATCGCATTTTAATCCCTTTAACTTATATTGCATAATGAAACATAGCAAGCATCTACGCAAAATTCATTGACTAATGATTTGTGAATACACGGGCAAAAATATTGTTCAACTATGAATTAAAGCTGTATAAAAGAGGAAGTCGTGTTAAAAACATTGATCTACATTGATGTCTTTTTTGCAATTATATTGGCATTCAATGAAGTTTTAAAATCTGTCTAAGTATTAGTTTGTGAATTGGAGTTTGAAGACCAACAAAAATAAAAATTAAAGAGATGTGAAGTATTTTTATCAACGTTTTACCCGACCAACAACAGAAATACCAGATACACGTGTTGCGGGCAACACACAACGCTGAATATAAGCCAGAATTTCTATTAAAAAATTGACAAAGTTGCGAAATTTAAATAAGCGTTTTAAATTATTTAACAATACAGACACAACAACGTAGCTGACGTTAAGAACTATAGCTGACGTCTACGATAGAAGCGAACATGTTGTTTTTCAGTCTGTGCGTCAATCAAACCATTCATCTAGACGTTTGTCCACCTTACGTCAGTCTGTTTATCGTTCGTCCAGCAAATTAAAGTTTTTTTTTATATGAACGTAGTAGTCTGCAATCAAATTGGGTTCACAACATCTTAAAATTTAATTTCAATTTCAAAATTCAACATTTGGGAAATTGTAAGGGTTAAAACAGTAAAGTGACCAATGATTCACGAACTTTGGGATATTTATTTAAGAATCGAACTTACTATATTGAATTTCTAACTTAGACATACCTGTGAATAGCTCATAATCATATTTTAAATCAATATTGGAACTGGTGTGAATTCCTAGCCAGGAAGAGATTTCAAAACGATACTAGTAAATTGATAACGGAAAGTTAGAACTGTTTCCGGGAAGTATGTTTACAAAACAAGTTAGATGATACATATCGATAAAGTCTAATAGCTGTGTACTAAAAACATGATTAATTATTGTAATGAAATACCTGTCTGCTGCAAACAGATTGGCAACTTTCTAAGTCTTGTCCTGAAAAAAATGTTCAAAGAGAATTGTGATATATTAAGAAATTAATTATTTCTAAGTAAAATATCCTTTATGAAATCCTTAGAATACAAAATGAGAATGTAGCCAGTCTACTAGTAGTATTGATGTTACCTATTTCTTTTCTAAAAGAAAAAATGAACTAAAAATAACGGACCGTATTAAAGAGTGCTACAATATTCATAGTGCGAAACGAAATGCAGATACGTTACACCAAGGCTCCGTGTTGAGGCCGTACTTTGACCTAGAATTGTTAACTTTTTATGCATTGTGACTTTGATGGAGAGTTGTCTCATTGACACTTATACCACATCTTCTTATTTATAGAGATAAGTACAAATAAACTATAAAGCTAAATACACACTTACTAGTAGCCTTTTCAATTGATAATGGGTAACTTCCAGCTACATATTGTCCATGTACTAGCACAACATGTATTTCCTTATCTGAAATTGAAAGAAAAAATATCAACTGTTAACTCGTTTTAGCAAGTAGGAAATAATCAAAACTGAAAAATTATCATTTAAACATAATTTCACTAAAGAAATATAAATCAAAGGAATGAATGAACTACAGAATAGAATAAGACAATATCGGTTTTGACAGATCAAACGACTATGATAGCATATAGTATCTAAACATTATATGATGGTACCACTAAATATAATGTTGTTCGTTCAATCTCAAAGCTCTGTTAGCAGTTTTATATCAGGAACACACCACTTTTAATGAAGTCCGCATAATGTGAACATGCACGAGGTTAACGTATTACTTGAGATATATCATCACCATTCGATTTGTCAGAGGGTATTCTACTAATGCAAACAGAGGTTAAAAATTCAAAATTTGACATATTTCCGTTTTTCATAGGTTTGAGCTGGAATTTTACCTTCTAAAATTTACTGAAATGATAGGAATATATGAGATAAATGTATTAAAGAACATTAGATTGATTTTAGGATGTTTCAGATTTTAAGTTACCACTGCCCATAATCAATTAGTATTTGAAGCTTTGATTAAGTTGTTGATGCTATTGAATGACAATGTGTGTGAAAAGCAACATATTAATTGATTTTATTTAAAAAGAGACGAAAAAAGAGAACGAGAAAAAAAACAACAGTTTGCAAAATGTTCCGCTTTTAAATACAAATACATCATGACAAGGATTGTATGACCTAGAACAAACCTGTAATAATAGAATTTTCTAACCATGTTTTGTTCGTTTAGGATTTTCTTTTTATCGAAAACATGACAAGTGATATTTATATTTTAACTCAATTAAGAATATTGGAATGGTATACCAATCCACAAACTAAGGTATCGAAACATGTATATAAAGACTGATGTAGACGTTGGCAAATAAAATTTTTCAATGCCCTTTGCAGATGCTACTGCTGGTCTATGTTTCTTCATTGAGCGCATCACCAACCAAATAGAGAACATTCGATACCATCTTTTCCTTTGCATTTGTCAAATGAACCCCCCCCCCCTTTTCCTACCAATAACAACTTACCACAATGTTTCGATACGAGATCTTTTGTGTATTCAGTTTCAATCAGATTCAACTCTCTCTGTACACGAGTCATAAATTCCGCATCCTGTTTTAAAACATGCATTTTAAAAAACATACATATTGAAAAATATTGAAAATCTAGGATTATGTTTTATTAAAATATCGAACTATTACATTTAAAATCAACATACACAAGGAACACCTTCTTGGTGATTTTTACTTCGCTGTAGTAGTAGGTAGCTATTAGTCTGAATAATCTCAACTTAAAATCGTGAAGTCTTGTTCCGGTTTATTTTCAGATATTTTCTAGGTGCAAATTCAGTACTGTTCAACAATTGCTTGCACTCAATCCAGGACTGCTATGTTGCAGTTTCGTACTGGCATATAACAATTACTGAACATTCTAAAATGATTGTAATTTACTACAAGCACACTGTTTTGTTGAACGTATGGCCGTGGCTAAGTCTTATTATTTAAAAAAATACTGAATACGATTTAATAATTTATCGATAACGCTTTGAGCAACTGTGCATATCAATTGTTTTTTTTTTTTTTTTCATTTTAAAACTAGTTTACTATTATTTAATTTGGTTTTGATGTAACATTAAAGTTTCATATAGATTCAGGAAAAATTGCTTTTACTTCTCAATCTTATACAAATGAATCCGTTTGTTTTCATGTTATTCACTTCACATACTGATGTCCTAAATTACTACGAATAGAATCTTCCAGGAACTTACATTGCTTACAGGAATTTCAAATATCTCATCAATCTGATTTTCCAAGCAGTAGTAAGCACAAAATGTATGTTGATCGAAACAATAGTCTAGTTCAAATGTACCTTGTATTATACATTACCTTTTAACATTTTATCAAAATTTGGCTTGCAATTTTTGTATTATAAGAAGTGTAACATGTGTAAGTAGCTATCTACAGTCACAGTGGTCTCTTTACAAGCACATGTAGCTTACAAAAAAAAAACATTAATATGCTGAAAGCTACCAAATTTAGAAAGTGTGACCCAATTATGTCAATGGTTTATATATTTGTTATAATAATTTATTATGACAATTCTGAACATTTTTTTTATCATTTACTTTTTTTTTCTGATGGAGAGCTATGTCAATACCATTTTCTAAAATAAATGTATTCCAATGTTATCAGTTTTTCGTTTTAATAACATTTGATATAGAATATTTTAGATATTTTTAATTTTCTGCAGTGGGACCCATCAAGCTTTGCCGGTAGGGACATTGGTAGTTATTCTGAAAAAAGACACAACTTCAATTATCGACATATATAATACTTTATAGATATAAGAATATGTGGTATGAGTGCCAATGAGACAACTCTCCATCCAAGTCACAATTGGCAAAAGTAAACCATTATAGGTCAGAGATCGGTCGTAAACACGAAGCCTTGGCTCACAGCGAACATCAATTTATAAAAAGCCCCCAAAATGACTAGTGTAAAACCATTTAAACCGGTAAAGCAACGGTCTTATCTATATGAAAAACGAGAAACATTTATGAACCCCACCAACAAACGACAACCACTGAACATCAGGTGCCTGCTTTAGGACAGGTACAAACAATGCAGCGGGTTTAAACGTTTTATTAGGTACCAACCTTTACCCTTACCTGAAACAATAGTGTAACATCACAACCATTGCTAAGAATTAGTCCGGTTTAAGGGGAGTACTCCAATCTTGACAATTAATTTATTTCAAGGACTGATAACTCGAATATTAATTGTTATCTATCCATCCCAGCGTGCGTGGTTAAATAGCGAGGTCTGGCAATAAGCCCCTTGTTGTTTGTCTCTTATCTTAAATTCATGTTATAAACATATAAAAAAATTGGCTGATAACATCATGGAAATTTGTAATATATCAAGAACCGATTCTGTTAACATTACGTGAAAATAGCTTCTAAATCTGTTCGTAAAAACCGTTCTCATGGACATAGAATAAAAAGTTTTTGTCTCTTTGACACACACTACGTTTTCTTTCTCAATTATATTTTAGTCAACTAGTTTTTTACAATTTACAGTGTGTCTTTTATTTTGATTGTTTATGTTATTTTTTATAACTTTGATACCTTTTTCATTATTATCCTATTTCGAGGATAATGGTAATTTGTTTTACATATATTTGCGTTTGTTTAATAACCCTTTACATTTCGTTTGAGGGACCTCGCTGGCAGAGTGATTTAAGTAGTTACTACTGTTATCACTAGCATGTTAACACTGAGGTTGTGAGTTCGAATCCCGCACGTGCAGGTGCACTCGACTCCAATCTTAATTGACTAGGATTGCCAGTTTTCCTAACATATGTCGGTGGTTTTTCCCGGGCATTCTGGCTTCCTCCACCAATAACAACTGGCTGCCACGAAATAGCCCAAAAGCGGTGCTTAGAAGTGGCGTTAAAAATCCAAAAATCAAATCAAATCATTTCGTTTGTAATATGTGTAGGTCAGTTTTTGTCATTTCGTCTACCCGAGCAACATTCAGCAAAGTAGGCACTTTAAAAGCATAATATAGTTGTGTTTTGAGTTATCAATAAAAGATGCGTCAATGAGACAGCAACCCAACGACAGAAATAACCAAAAGACATATAAAGGGCAAAATGCAGTCTTCAACAATAGTCTATACCGCACAATATGCCAGGCTATAATGCTAAATATAAAAAACGAACATGACATACGAAAACCGACACTGACGATGGTCCTGACTTGGTACGGATATATGCAATGCAATTATATTATTATTAAAAAATACAGAAACATAATTGGCATTCAAAAAAATAAGTGCGTCTTTCTCTACGACAATTTTTTAACCCTATTCAAGACTTATAAGTTAATAAAGGAGTCATTGGTAATCTATACTGCAATTTCATGTCATTGTAATCATTAAGAATTAAGTGTACACTCTGTTATCAACAAAATGTCTATACACGTATAGAAAGCAATGCTTACGACCAGAAACGGTCAGCTGGTGACAGTAAAGACGCTTTTTTTTCTGATTTGAACGCAAACTAAGGTTATCCAGGGGCTATAACCATAACAGTACAATGTAAGATACAATTTTTAAACTTTAATAACTTTTATGACTCTGAACTTTGTGAATAGTAGTATGTAAAATCTACTTAAAAAGGATTGTGGGATATAATTGAAGTCGGAGCAACACGTTAACAACTACTTCTATAGATCATAAGATATATAGAAGCATAAAGTGCCGGTTATAAGCAAAACCATGATTTCATCGTTGACTGATAAAAAATTACAAATCATATTTTATATTCTTTTTTCTTTTATGGTATGGTCCGTTGTGTCTTTCCTTAAAAAAGAAGGCTGTAGACACCAAGGGGACAATCAAAACTCACAAGTCGAAAAAACATTTATAAAAATTTACAACGCCTACAAGGCATACATTACTGGGGGGGGGGGGGGGGGGGGGGGGGGCAAAATAATCTGGACAAAAGAATTTCACAATTTGTCTTTATAAAATTAATCGCATAATAAACAACCCTTACTGAATAAAAGCGGTATGTTTAAACACCTAACAACCTTTATTATGCATGGTAGAGAACGCAAAAAAAAATCTCATATTGATGAGATGTGGTGCCTTTAAATCTTGATTGTAGGCAAAAATGATCAATATTGTATCGATCGACTACATGTGGTTTTATCTCCTTATTTTACATGTACTCCGCGGGAAGTTATCGAAGATTAACTCTATAACATTACGTGTGGACAATACAAATACGGCATATTATGTACAGATCATCATGCATGGAAGTATTATATTGACATTTTACTTCCATTTACAGATAAAGGGTAATCTATAAACTGGTCAACCATTCCATCTAAAGCACCGCCAAGAAGTAATATTTAAAACATGCTACAAAGTAGTAAAAGGCAAGCGTTCTCTTCGGTGTTTATTTTCAAAGAAATGATACGACACTGACCATTCTTCTTTTGTGAAGAGTAAAGTTGTATTATTTGTTTTCTCCCAGTCTAGAAACAAATCATTTCTTTCAAAAAATATGTCGTCAAACTATTTATTTTGCATGTTTTGTGTCAGTGATGGAAACCCCATATCCAACATTTAAGCAAATACTCGTTCGGAAAATTCTCATATAATTGAAGGACATGCTAGATATTGTATAACCGGTAACAGCATGAACAGAGAAGCTTTAAATTATTATGATATCAATATACAGTACTGTTTGGCCACCATTTCAAACAAGTTCTGAGATAAATATATAATCATTCATATTATCATTTTCATTGTTCCGCACACTGAATCGCCTGACCAAATATAAATATAAGATGAGAGTGAATGAATGCCAATGTCAATTGTTTTTGGTTTGATTAAAAGGTTATGTTTCACAGTATCCAAATAATTAGTAAACATTCATAAAGATAGATTAGAATGAAATTTACAGATCATGTGATAGACATGACTTATTTCCAAATTTTGAATTGTTTCAGAAAAGGGTACTCCTTTAATAATGGGATTATATTTAATAATACAACTAAACAATTCTTTTAATGGCATTTTTTATGTTCAAATATGGCTATTAAATAAAACAATATAAATGATTTATTTTTTAAGACATGTCATTACAGTTATAGGTACCAGTCTTGTATTACAACTCCAGTTTACGGTGCATGTCAAAACATGGAGGGAAATAAAATAATCCATTTTTTTCTGGACTTAATTTTTCTGTTTGATTAAAGGTTTATGATGAATTGAAACATATATATAGATTTTAAAAAATCTTGCATCTTTTTGGGGATATCAATCCAGGAAAGTGGAAGGATATCATGTTGACTGGAAGTGGTGCGGCCTAGTAAAAACAGCAAACAGAAAGTAGACAAAACAGTTTTGACTTCAGGGTTACATAACTTTTTATTCTTCGTGGCATGACCCACTTTTTTTTAAATCACAATGTCACATTAGTGCATACATGATATGAACATGAAAACAATTTTATAATGTAGCAATTTTTATTTTTTTATTTTCAAAGATCAGCTGTTTTGCATGTAAGCCTATGAAGCGGTCAATTACAAGACAACAACCTAAAGAATTTTTAACACTCCAAAAATAATGAATACCATTATTTTCATAAGCTTTATGACAAAAGTTAATAACAAGTTCTTTGATAGTAGTAAGGGTGGTAGCTCTGATAGATTAGTAGTAGAACACTTATTAGATGCGGAGATGGAACGGAATTTTAATGATTGTTTATGTAATTTAGGTAACCAGTACATAGTCGGGACTTTCAAATGGTCGGAAGAGGCTTTTAAGTTGGGTAGTGGCAGTGATAAGCTTGTATACAATTTGACTTTCTGTGGAGCGTACGGACCTGAATATCGAAGAATTGATAATTTCGTTTTGGAGAACTTCCGTGTAGTATATGCGTCACACCACCACTACAGTATTGGCTGCTTTGTCTGCCGGTACGAACAAAACCGCTTTGTGAGTACTTGGATTTATATTTAATTCTAGAAACGGGTATATCATGAACCCTATTTAATTTCAGAATTGTTCTCAAAATGAGATATATGAATATCGACAGTCTTCATAATTTTATTCTATTCAAATAAATGTCTAGAGATTTTTTATCAGATTTTTCACGTTTACTTCATTTTTTTACGGTATACAGACAGAGCGTCTTTAATGACCTATCGACACTGTTTCCAATCTTTTATAGAGGGAGGACGAAATTTGTGTCCTTTCTTAAGAAAGTTTTGACCTCAGGGTCTTCGATGATGTTGAGGTCTCCTGTAAAGACATGACCTTACGGAACATATCCAACACTAGATGTTTCACAGTCTCATGTGGAAGGAACTTTATTTTCTATATTGATGTCTGATGTAACTGACGTATAATTAAAAATCAAACTTCTGCTGTTTTTTTTATAAGAATACGAAATAATAGATGGTTTTATATTATCAAAATATGGAGGTATTTGGCTATGGATGGTAGAGTTATTGAATATACTAGATACATTTTGTAAGTTAATAAAATCAAAACCTCTAATTATATATTTTAATCTAAGAAAATTTAGTCTATAAAACCATATCAAAGTAAAGCTCACCTCTGAAAAAGTTTTGTTGTCAAAAGTAGATTCCAAAATAAGTTTCCGGTTCTCTTGTACTTGTATACACTTAAATGTACCTTTCTTGATCCAATCAAGTTTGTGGTCAAAATGAGTGTCACAGTTACAATAGCTGCTGATAGGTTTTAAGTGCGTTGCCATTAGCTTCCATATTTCGTCGAAGGTCTCGTTGTTTGTTTCATGTTCAACAGCGATCCTTGATAGCTTTATTTGATTTGTTGTTACAAGTTGTAACGACTGATATAACGGACACACATTGCTTAAAAGAACAAAATTCATATCATCATCGAAAGATTGTATTATTAGTCCTTTGTTTGGAAAAGTTAATGATAGCTGAACATCATTTTCCGTTATGTCCTCTGGACCTTTATACAAACATTCCCATTGTTTTTTTGATAAATATTCCCGCTTCCTTGCGTTTCTTGCAGATCCGTTATGATCACTGCCACTTGTTTTGTAAAGGCTATATAAATGCTCTTTGTATCTATTTAGGATATTTTCAAGACTCGTTTTATCCTTATCTAAACAGCTGTCCCAGAATAAGTCAAAACATTGATCCGACAACAGTGTGTCAATTGAGTAAATCCCTAAATCTGAAAGTTGGATATTTTTTGTTCGGAGGGCACGTTTTATGTCATCAGGTTGAAGAAATTGATACCTTCCATACAGGTAATCAGCTAAATCTAGATTTTTCTGTGAAAGATGATATTGTAACAAATGCCTCTTTACATCTGTTCCAGTATGATACAGGGCCATCAGTCGGTCATGATTGTCTTTCCCTGTGCATTGCGTTCGGGTACCAGATGGGGTACTACCACATAACAGCGCAGCCATTTTCCTAAAAAGAACACATCTGGATATTCATATAGTCATTATTTATTATCACTGATATGATTTTAATCCTTTTGGGCTTAATATACAACTCTAAAAAAAAGTATGGTTATCATGTTCAGCAAATAAGTATGAATTTAACTCTTTTTTTCTTCATTTTTATTGTATTTAGTCTTAACAATATAGTATACTTGTAACGACCATGCAAAATCCATTTTGACCAAGAGGAAGGTATATTTAGGTTACTTCGCTAACGTTATGGACTCTTGAATATTTAGTATACTAACTACGCTGAAAGTATATCAATTCTTTAATTACTATTTATTGGTTTTATAAAGCATTGATCTGTTTTTTTCAAAGGTTCCTAAACCATTCTTGTTATATATACATTTCTCGTTTGAATTGTTTTACATTTGTGTTTCGGAACCTTTTATGGCTGACTATGTGGTATGTGCTTTGTTCATTATTTAAGGCCGTACGATGACATATAGTTGTTAATTTCTGTGTCATTTGGTATCCTGTGGAGAGTTGTCTCATTGGCAATCATACTACATCTTTTTTATGTATATAATGAAAAACTGCAACATCTTTTTGGTAAAGCAGTGGCTCATAATTGATTTTTAAATGCACAAATGAGATAAAAATAAATGCACAAATGAGATAAAAATGACATTTGCTATGTGCTTGTGAGGTCAAATTGCTATCACAATTGACATTTCGGATTGAAGTGTCACACTTTTAAAATATCAATTTACCAATGAACATTGACAATAAACCGTGAAAAATTATCATTTAACCTAAATAAGATGGAACTTAATAAAGCTGTTTATGAAGACGCCAGTTGTTGTGATTTTCAATACACGTAAATTGATTAGGAAAAGACAAATAAAGGTTACAAACACAAACTGGAGGAATTGCATGAATCTAAAAGGAGCAAGACCGGGTGTATCGAAACGGTAAGCGTCTCCTGATTTGCATTTATCCACCCTTCTGCCATGCAAAATTTAAAATCAGCAAATTTCCCAATCAGCAATAAGACACAATCCTGAAATTTACTGACAAGACAATTCTCATGGTATTCACAATACTAAAACCGGACAAAAATTACGATTATCCCTATTTTTGACATTTTTATCTATCATGTATGTTTGTTTTGTTCATACATCGTTGTCAATATAATGCAATTTTAGGCAACTGTCATACAAGTGAGTGGTTTAGCTAGCTATAAAACCAGGTTTAATCCACCATTTTCTACATAAGAAAATGTCTGTACCAAGTTGTTAGTTTTTCTTCGATATAAAACATGTTATATCACATAGGTATATTCGGCTTCTCTTTTCGGAATCTTAGAAAAATTCTACATGACATTACTGCTATCGCCATCATGTTAAATATATAGTTATTTTGTTTTACTGGTACGCAATGTCTAGATACTAGCGTTAACGGCACTTAATAATATGAAAAAGGAGAGTCCTGTCTTAAATGAGATACACCGATATGCCTAGCTGGATTTTCTACGTTCAAGATAAAGAAGGTTTTATAACTTGATAGGACGCATGTCACTGTACCTTGACATATATGATTCGACTTAGAGATAGGCAGTTGTAGCTGTTATTTCTAGTGATATATCGTAAAGGAATTGAATATCCGTTTGGATTAAAATGTTTTCAAAACTACGGGGAAAAAGAACAAAATGGACACATTTAGTTGTTTGTTTTTTTTTTCTCACCTAGCGATACCGGATGAATGAACAATATACGCGTCTTCTGTTGCGCATTTATCACCGGGTGCGTATCTTCACTCTGTTTTCTATAAATATTACGATTGGGAAAACAGCTAAATCGGCAAATCTACAGACCAAGAATGGAATCGATCCCACCACAACCGAGAAACGTACATTAATAGTTTCCCTTAATAGACTACTCTTTAGTACATCAATGTACGTATGAAGGAGGCGGTACACCAATAGAACGGATAGTTAGTTATATTGCCTGTGGTTTAACAACTTTTAGTAATGGTATCTCATCTGACATTTGTTTGTTTAACATTAACCCCCACACTTAATCTTCGCAAAGTACACTAATTTTTACATACCATTAACGTTTGGATAATATAATTTAGGAATAAACATAAACAACATACATTTGATAAAATACCCCAAATAATCTGTTGACTTGTTTTGCCAGGTAATTAATGTTTCAAGACCCAAATAGTCCAATCATTCAGGTTTACCTGTGTTTTTATACGAAAAATGTTTAAAGTAGCTGATCCAGTTATTACATTTTCAAAATTGAAAAGAATCAAATTTAAATGCAGTGTTTTCTATGAATTATAAATCTGATTAGAACTAAAACATATTAAATTTCGTCGTCTCGAAATTAACGGTTAACATCTTATACATTAATGTATTACAATTAAAAAAAACAATAGGAATAGTTTTGGAAGGAAATATTATTAATTGAAGTTTGTTTTCTACCTTTTTCAAGTTGATAAAGATATATTTGTACATGATATATGTTTTTATACTTAATTGGCTTTATATCATTGTATCATGATAGCAAAATATATTGGTGAAAATGACGCCAGTGAATGATCACGGAGTAAAGTTGATAATATATATACATTCATGAACCGTTAGGGTAAAAAAGATATAAAAGTATTATACTTGATATATTGAATGGAAAATCAGGACTCGGAAAATAGGGAGGGGTCGTCTGATAGCAGATATTATACAGTCAATGAAGGAGTGATAAGGTATCGACAGACGAAGGACATTAACGTCTTTACAAAATGGGTACAATCTCTGAAGTTCTACCACTAATACAATCTGTAACGCAATTTTGTATTATACATTGGCATGCATGATTGTGTGGAAATGTCTCATGAATGTGACACTCAATGGTTTATGTTCGTAGTGATAGTGTTCTTACCTTTTTATTGCGGGATAATCCTGAACTGAAAATATTATTCGCTTTTGACCCTTATCAATAGTATGCTATCAGTAAAAATCCAAAAAAATCGGTAATGACTTGATCGATTTTGGAAGGCCTACATTTTGTTCTATTGTGCATGTAGTTAAACAGATTACCACAGAAATCATGCAAATGGTGATACAAGCATACATTTTGTAAGAACCTGCCTTCAGGTGTATTTAATCATACTAAGGGGGTAGCTACGAAAATAATCCATCCGATCATGGCGGCCATCTTTGATTTTCAAAATGGCGTCTATCCAGATAAAACACATCAAATGTATGTTCCCTTTTGCATACACATTGCTAGTATTTTATACAAATGTACTAGGTTGAGTGAATGACGGTTTATTTGTCTTATTGTAGTAATAAAACATCACTTCCGGTCAAATATACGATAAATATAGGCGATAAATAACTTCCGGTTTTATAAATATCTTTCATTTGACCCATACTACCAAACGCTAATGTTTTAAATCATAGTACTTTGGTAGTTATTAATTTGAATCATAGTCTGGGGTTGGTCTTCGGATCTTATAATTAATTCTCAATGTTTAATCTTTATTTGGCGTCCATCCTTAACCATTGCTTGGCATCAGTCCATTGTGTTGTTGCTTGACTTTGTCAAATGTCATTCATTACCAGGCATTACTTAATGTTCATCACTTATCACTAGCAGTCTTTCAGAGATTGATTTATTTGCACTACCAGGGCACATTGGTATAAATCTCGGCATGGGGTCCAGTATCAGCTTTATGAGATTGAAGTGCCCCAAATACTCCATGATTGCTCCAATTATTAAGTCATGGAGTTGTACCTAATTCGACAGGATGTGTTAACGCGAGAGATCAGACCCAAGGGGAAGGGGGAGGGGTGTATTCCTCTGGATGGTGTACAGATCGCATGGGAGTTAAATGATACTAGATAAACGATCGGGCTGAATAAAGGCAAACTTTTAATTGGGTAAACCGAATTTAAAAGTAATATCATACAACAAAGTGCTATACAGGTGGTAAACGGATAATCCCTCGGCCTGAATATCAGAAGTGTTCAGATATTTTACTCAACAATATTTCGTTTTTGTTCTATCTTTACATTGTTGGTCACTTTAATTTATTTATATAATAGTTGATTTTTGAAATGGCGAAAAGAATTCGCTTGTCGGCTTCCTCAACAAACAGATAGTTGGGAAACTGATCGGACAAAATATTGTTTGTGTCAGGAAGACACAACGGACCTACTGAAATCGTCAGATGAAGGATATAAAATGTTGGGCAAAATTATACCTCTTTTTTAGGAAGTAAATGCACTCCCTATCCCTCTAGACATTCGGCGATTAAACGACGGAGAGGGAATTGAAAGCACAATTAAAAAGAAAAATGCTTTAAATAGTACCATAGTTTATGCAGAATAAAGTTTAACAATATAAAACTTGAGAGAGTCCAGAAACGTCATATGTCACCAATACCATCTGGGAGTTCGAGCGAATGTAAGTCCCCTAAACTGTTTAGAAGTACTTCTCATTCAATAGACCCACAACTAGATCCCGTTGAAAATGTCCATTAATATTTCATTTCTGATAAAGAGTTGTCTTTATCCGCTTTAAGAGAGGCAATGCCAATGAAACTGAACCAATAATTGGTGGATTGTGCAACAGTGCTACAGGATAATCAACTGTTTAAACTAAGAGTGGTGATGTCATGGCACAAGAAATGAAGTATAACCCGTCTTGTCTCACAGCTGTATAGAAAGAACAAATAAAATACAAAAGAGGCCGAAAGCAGTTGTAAAATATGATGAAAGAAACTGCATTAGCTGAGCTGGTGTAACATACATCTTTTAAACTCAAAGAAATTCTGAAGAGTAAGTAGTGTTTCGATTAAAAGACCTGGTCATGGCAAACCTTAACGAAGAAAGACTGACACAACTTGGTTCTTCTTCTGCACATGTACATTCTACGTGCATGAAGAACAAGCTTTTGTATAAGATTCCAGAACTAGATGCACACAAAAGGCAAAGATGTTCTTTTGATGTTG